CGGGCCCCCCCCTCCCCCAGACCCCGTTCCAGACCCCAGCACCGCTGGCCCCCACAGCTCCCTCAGACCTCAGCACCACAGCCCCTGCGTGCTCTGGGTCCCCCACTACCCCCATCCACCATCACTGCCCCTGGGCCCACTCCCTGCTGGCACCAAGCTGGACTCTAGCTCCCCCCTACAACCATACTCTGTCCCAGACCCCAGCACTGCAGCCTCCAGGTTCCCCCAAACCCCCATATGCTGTCACCACCCCCAGGCCTGCTCCCCGCTGGCACCAGGCTGGGCCATGCTGCCCTGCCCTGCTGCCAGAGCAGGAAGGCTGGTCTCTGGCTGCCAGTGCACCTAGCACTGGGCACATCTGAGGACACACCTTGGAGATGCTTTTGAAGCCCAGCTGAGCCACGGCGTTCACAAAAGCTCGGGTGTCCTCGAAGCGGCTGGCCACCTCTGCCACCATCAGGGTTCCCCTGCGGAACACCCCAGCCCTGAGTGGCGGCAGCACCTCCCTGGCCACGGCCCAGTGCCTCCGCCCCTCACCGCCAACCTGCGCCTCCCCACTCACCCTGATGCCTCCTGGCCCCCGTGCGCATTTCTGCCTACCCCTGCTTCAGCACGCGGTTGGCCTCTTCCAGGATCTCCTGCAGGTTGGTGCCCATCAGCGCCAGGCAGAACACTGCAACATCCACCGACTCGGCCGCCAAAGGCACCTGCCAGACACCAGCCGGGATGCCCGCCCCAGGAGGAGGAGGAGGATGGCGATGGTGATGGGGCAGCCCTTCCGTGCTTTGCTGCTTCCCAGGCTCTTGGATTCAACCCAGCATCTTCTCTGAGGAGCCTGCAGACGGGAGGTGCCCCAGTTTTCCGAACAGAGATGTGTTCCTTCTTGCATACAGGACCCTCAGGATCCCTGAGCACAACTCCTGTCCCCCCCAACCCCTACCAACAGCCTGGGGAGTGGGTTGCACGCATTGCCACCGTCCCCTCCCCATGGAGCTGTCATCCCTCACCCCATCCTCTCTGTGCCACCCGGCCCCCCTACCTTGGCCATGTCACAGACGGTGACCAGTGGGCTGAGAGGGACCAGGTCAAAGGAGTGCACCTTGTTCCTGACGCTGCTCGCAATCTTGCAGTCACCGCACCCAAAGTCCGCCACCACCAGCGAGGCTGGCCTGGGGGGGGAGTGGGGGCTCAGAACGCCCCTTGCCACTCCCCTCACCACCTCCTCGGGTTCCCTGCGGCTCGGGGGCAGCCCTGGGCCTGGTGCTTCCCGCTTCTGCCCGCTCCCGCTCACCGCCGGCGCAGGTAGCGGATGATGCGATTCACGGGGTTCTCTGGCCAGCGCCTCACTTGCTGAGCAAAGCCGCGATGGTAGATCTCGAATGCTTCGGGGTCGCTCTGGAAAAGCCGTGCCGCTTCCTGGCTGGTGGAGGTGTAGAGCTGCTGGTTGATGTACCGGAACCGGGCAGACAGCAGCCGCTCCTCCATCCGCGCCCGCAGGGCCGCCGACCGTCCCGCAGGCGCCGCTTCTGGGCCAGGCGGTCCCGCCTGCCTGCCCCGGCCCTGCTCCCCTCCGGGCCCCGCCAGGAGCTCCTTCTTCTGCTGCTGCTTGCTCCTCCGCTGCCTCCTGCTCGGCCTCCACGCCATCCCCCCGGCTGCAACCCCCGTCCGCAGCGCCCCGGGCTCGGCGCTCCCCCGGCGCCACTCCGCCGGCAGCTCGGCCGACGCGTCTGGGGGCGGGGGAGGACCCAGAGGGAAGTCAGGGCGGCGGCGGACGGCTCCCGGCCCCGCTCCTGGGACCCCCGGCAGGCCCGGCCTGCCCCG